CTAAGTGAGGAAGGTTGACAGTTTCATAATCAAAGAAACAAACCTCTTGCTTCAGCCTTCAAAGACACAGAAAACGTTTCTCCCAAGTGTGTATGCATACGTGTGTATGCAAATTGAAGTCCAGGGAAAAATGCTTTCTGCACCCTTCAAAAGTGCACTGAAATGGCTTCTCTCCGGTATGATCCAGAAGACGTCTCTTTAGTTTGAAGCTCTCAGCGAACACCTTCCCACATTCTGCACACACGTGGTCTTGGGCAGCATGAATGAGGAGGTGCTTTTTCAGGGCAGCTCTGTTCCTCAACCTTCACAGGCATCCACTCTGAGGACAAGTGATGGCTTGTGGAGAATCATATTCTTTATTTTTGGGGGGCTTCTTTCTAGCAAATTCTGCATTGTTTAGGATCTGATAATTTAATGTCAGGTATTCCTTCAGGTGGAAGCTTCTTGCCTGTCATGTACTCGGAATACTCAAGTGAATCCTCTCCAACAATCTCTTGGGAAAGCTCTAGTTTTGTACCTTGTTCCACGCACTCTAAAGAACACTGCAGAAAGGAGTTTGCTTCAAGAACCTGTTGAGAAAGCTCTTGTTCTGATCCTTCTTCTAGGTATTCGAAGGACTTAACAAGTGAGTTCTCTTCCAGGATGGGTTTAGAACACTCACCTCATATTATGTGTTCTATGGAACAGTCGGAGAAGCCATCCTCTTCAAGAGCTTGAGGGCTAGTCTGAGAGCACACATCATCATCATACAAGGCCCATGCTGTATTGAGAGGTTCCATTTCTGCCCATTGGGCTTGGCTGGGCTTGGCTTGCTTTGCTTTGGTTTGGCCCTGCTGAGGGCTTTTTTACTCAAGTCTTTCTGGCCACTCGTCTTTGCCTTTTTCTTCAGTTGCTGGCTCAATGTTGTCCTGCGTGCTTCTTCCTTGAAGGTTTGCCCCAGAATTTATCAATCACTTCCAGGTAGTAGTGATCTGAGTAAGTCATCTTCAGCAAACACCTGCTCTGCTGGATTTTAAGTTCTGTGAGAGTCAAAGTCTCATCTGTTTCATTCACCACATATCCCAGCACTTAGTACATCTGGCTATGCCACTGCAGTGCACCCAAGTACCTGCTACTACATTCTTCCCGAGCGCACCCATAATGGCTTTTTAAAAAACATAATGTTTATTAACATAGGAGATAATTATTTATTTAACTCTTTTCTATCATTAGATTATTTCCCACTTTACCCTCTTTTAGGGATACTAATAGGAACATCCAATACTAGCTAGCATTTATCAAGTATTTAGCCTCCCTATCAAAGTACGTGACATGTTGAAATCTTAATTTTCTTATCTATGAAAAGGGAGTAATAATTTTTAACTAGTGGTTTAATACTGAAATACACATAAAGGGCTTCACTCAGTGCCTGGCACAATGGTGAGAACTCAGTAAAAGATATTTTCAACATTGTTATCATCATCACTACCACTTAGTCTTCAGTTCTCCATTTTAGACATCACTTTCTTTGGTGATGTGTGCCCATAGCACTACCAAAATGGTTTTTTTTAAAATTATTATTGTATATTTTCTTTGTCTTAGTCCCTTCAGGCTGCTATAATAAAATACCATAGACTGGGTGGCTTATAAATAATGGAGGTTTATTTCTCACAGTTCTGGAGGCAAGGAAGTCCAAGATCAAGGCTCTAGCAGATTTGGTGTCTGGTGAGGGCCCACTTTCTGGTTCTTACATGGTGTCTTCTACCTGTGTCTTTCCTTGGTGTAAGGGGCAAGGTAGCTTTCTGGGGCCTCTTTTATAAGGGCACTAATCTCATTCATGAGGACTCCATCCTCATGACTTAGTCATCTCCCAAAGGCTCTACCTCCTAATACCATCACATGGGGCATTAGGTTTTCAACATGTGGATTTGAGGGGGGACACAAACACTGACTATAGCATTCTTCTTGATTGTTTCTCCTGCTAGATGACACACTTTTGAAGGCAGGGACTTTGTCCTTTGTGTTATTGTATTCTCAGGATATTCATTGTGCTAGTACATAGTTGTAGATGCTCATTCAAGCTGTATTGAATGAATGAATGTATGAAAGAATGCTGTATTCAATTTAAACTTTGCATTGCATAGATTTATAACAATCAAGGGAAGCTTTTTTCTTTAGATTTATGGAGTGATAAAAGAATGTTTTCTGTTACAGTCCACTGATGTCTGTGAACAGATCTTGAGGGTGGTGAGTAGGTCCAATCGACTGGAAGAATTGGTATTGGAAAACGCTGGACTTAGAACGTGAGTATTTTCCTGAATATACGAATACGTTACTTTAAAACTTTATACTATTTGCTCTTCTAATTAATGCATACTTTAGAAGAAAGTTGGGCTACTCACATACACAGTGCTTTCCCTGCTGAAGAAAAAAATACCTACGATCCCTATCATTATCACGAAGACCAAGGGTTTGATAACATCTCTTGCTTTTGTGTCACTTGATTTTTTTTTTTTTTTTTGAGACAAGATCTTGCTCTGTCACCTAGGCTAGAGTGCAGTGGCGTTATCATAGCTCACTGCACCGTGAAACTCCTGGGCTCAAGCAATCCTCCTTCCTCAGCCTCCCAAATAGTTGGGACTACAGGCACATACCACCACACCCATAAAATTTTTCCATGTTTTGTAGAGACAGGGTCCTGGTTGTGCTCAGGCTGGTCTTGAACTCCTGGCCTCAAGTGATCCTCTCACCTCAGCCTCCCAGAGTGCTAGGATTACAGGTGTGAGCCACTGTACCTGGCCTTGATATTTTTGAGGGTACATAGTGTGGTGGCTAAGAGCATGGATCCTTGAGCCAGATGCCTCCTGGCCTTGTTTAAGCTTTCTGTGCCTCAGTCTCTTCACCTTTAAAATGGAAATAATAATAGTGCCTGCTTTGTAGAATTAAAGTTGTGATGATAAATGAATTAATATATGTAAAGTACTTGAAAAAGTGCCTTTCACATTGTAGATGCTATGTGTACCTTTTATTATCAGCACTGCTGATAGTTGTGGTAATAACATACTTCATATGATTTTACTGCTTTGCTTTGATAAGTTTTAGTCATATTTCTCCCTTTTCAAGTTAACACTTTTCCATAGTCTTTACCTAGTGGTTTAGTAGTCACTACCCAAGCCTTACTGTTAAGAGCATTAAGAGTTAAAATATATTAGAACAAAGATTTTACTGCTGCTAAGTGAGGAAGGTTGACAGTTTCATAATCAAAGCATCAAAGTATGTTATTTCGACTTAAACATAACTAAAATAGTGATTTTGATTTTTGTTAAAATTGTAGCCTTTAAACTCAATAATTAGAGTAATCAGTTTTGCATTCATGAGTGCATGAAATGAGAAATAAGATATAGTGAATAGCCTACTATAATTTTCACGAAAGGCAGGTTCAATCCAGTATTTTTTTTTTAATTATGGAGGGGCCAAGAAGTACTATTAATAGCATGCAGTAATGTATCTTTAAAGGGGCAATTATATATTTTCTTTTTGCTTTTGGCCAATCAAAATGAACTATATTCTGGCTTTACAAATTCTCTAATGAAGTGTTAATGGTTATTAACAAATATATGATATATAGACTAATATTTTATGGGAGGTTTTCTTTTTTAGATTTTACTCTGTTCTAAGCTTTAAATGTTTTATTTGAACGGTTTTATACTTTGTGTTATTTTTAATCTTATTGTTTTGTTTACTTGCAGAGATTTTGCACAAAAACTGGCCAGCGCTCTAGCGCATAATCCCAACTCAGGACTCCACACAATTAACCTTGCTGGCAACCCACTGGAGGACAGAGGTACTATAGTGTTCACGTTATCACTGATGCCAGAATTGTAAGAGGATTAGGCAGTTTTAATTTAGCCATGCCTGAAGAGAGTGGTATCAAGCTAAGCTGTAATTAGGTTATAAATGCTGTTGAAGATCTTGTTGGTTTCTAGTTCTTTTTACCCTTTCATGAAAATACTCATGCTAAAATTTTATGATCTGCTTAACTTTTTTTGCAGTGTGATACAAAAGGAAAGGAAGATACTATTTTTAAAATATCTTATTAGTTATCTATTACTGCATAACAAATTGCTACATACTTGGCAGCTTAAAAATGATACAAATTTATTATTTTACAGTGTCCTTGGGTCAATAGTCTGGGTACAGTCTGGTTAGCTGAGTTCTGTGCTCAGGGTCTCTCTCACAAGATTGAAATCAAGTTGTCGACAGGGGCTGCAATCTCATCTGGGACCTGTAGTCCTCCACAAGTTCACTGGTTGTTGGTGTAATTAAGTTCCTTGGGGATATAGGACTGAGTTCTCTGTTTTCTTGCTAGTGGGGATGACTTCCAGCTCTTAGAGGCTGTGCTCCTGGAAAGGTCCATGCCATGTGGCCCCCTCCTCTCACGACATAGCAGTTTGCTTTGTGTTTGAGGCCTGCTGGAACACATCTCTCTGATGCTGTAGTTGCTTTTAAACAGCGTACCTAACTCAGGCATACCCAGGACAATTTCCATTTGATGAATTCAAAGTCAGCTGATTAGTAATCTAATCATGGTAGTGAAATCCCATTACACTTAACCGTTGAGCAACGTGGAGGTGAGGGACACCGACCCCCGGAGTAGTCAAAAATCCGCATATAACTTTTGACTCTCCCACACTTGACCACTAATAACCTACTGTTGAACAGAGGCCTTACCGATAGCATAGTCAATTAGCATATATTTTGTATGTTATATGTATTATATACTGTATTCTTAAAGTAAACTAGAGAAAAGAAAATGTTATTAAGAAAACTATGAGGAAGAGAAAATATATTTACTATCCATTAAGGGGAAGTGGATCATCATAAAGGTCTTCATCTTCATCTTCATGTTGAGTAGCCAGAGGAAGAAGAGGGGTTGGTCTTGCTGTCTCAGGGTTGACAGAGGTGGAAGAAAATCTGCATATAAGTGGACCTTTGCAGTTAAAACCCATGTTGTGCAAGGGTCTACTATATATTCGCCAGCCTCCCTAATACTTGAAGAAATTATACAGGGTGTGTACGCTAGGGGTGAGAATCTTGGGGGGTACTATCTTAGAATTCTGCCTACCACAAATATCTTTTTTTTTTTTTTTTTTGAGACAGAGTCTCACTCTGTTGCCCGCTAAAGTGAGTGCCGTGGCGTCATCCTAGCTCACAGCAACCTCAAACTCCTGGGCTCAAGCGATCCTCCTGCCTCAGCCTCCCGAGTAGCTGGGACTACAGGCATGTGCCACCATGCCCGGCTAATTTTTTCTATGTATTTTTAGTTGTCCAGATAATTTCTTTCTATTTTTTTAGTAGGGACAGAGTCTCGCTCTTGCTCAGGCTGGTCTCGAACTCCTGAGCTCTAATAATCCACCCGCCTCGGCCTCCCAGAGTGCTAGGATTACAGGCGTGAGCCACCGTGCCCGGCCCACAAATATCTTTTAATATTCAACAAGATTTGAGTGTGAGAATAGGGCGAGGTTGAAGGACTAGAGTTTGTGATGAGTCAGAAAGTTTCATTAAAGGTGTTTGTGTAGATTGAAGGAAGAGTCAGTAGGTTTAGAAAGGGAAACTTCAGAATTTGAATTCTTGGTGGTAGAACATTGATGGACAAAGTTTAAGAAGGAATAGGTTGATCTCTAGTGGGGCAATTTTGTTTTCATTTCCTTTTGCAGATATTTTCCAACTTTGTTGAATAAGGACCTTTCATTTTTCAGTGTTATATATTTGATGAGTACTATTAATAGTTATTAAACTAAGTACAAGATACTGATATAGATGGTCAGTTTTTCTTTTTATCTCTGATATAGACATTGTTCTGTGTTGAAAAAGATACTCATGTGGGATTCAAGCAAAAATCCCAAGTAACTTCCCAGCATCTAAAGTAGTGAATCTAAGGGAAGGTTGAGACTGAGTTAGAAAACTAGATCACATGAAAAGCACCCTCATAGACTAAGCCAAAAATGAAAATAATGGATGCATAATACTGGAATTGGAGTTTCCCTGGAGTATACTATTAATATAATAATTTCTTAGGAAAAACAAATGTTTCTCTGTTAGTCATGCTGTAGAGAGGTGAATGTGATGAAGTGGAAATCATGGAGACAACTTTTTTATGGACAGGAGGGCCATTTTGGTTTTGTTTTTAAAGATGGGAGGACCTCAATCATATTTATCTACTGACAGAACAAAATCTTGTAGACGTAGGTAGTTGTTGCAGGCAGGTCCCTAAGCAAATGAAATCCAGAGTTCAGGTGGACCAGGAAGGAGGCACTGCTTAGTCATTAGGGCAATGTAAATTAAAACCATGGTGAGGTACCACGTCACAGCCAGTAGTATAGCTATAATCAAAATATATGTTGGAAAGGATGTGAAGAAACAGAAACTCATATGTTGCTGGTGGGAATGCAAAATTGTGCAGCCACTTTGGAAACCAGTTAGACCGTTTCTTAAAAAGTTAAACTTAAATTTGCCCTGTGACCCAGCAATTCCACTCATAGGTATATCGCCCAAGAGAAATGAGATATATGTCCACACAAAGACTTGTGAGTGAATGTTTACAGCAGTATTATTTATAATAACCCCAAATTGGAAACAACCCAATGTCTATCACTGGTGAGTGGGCAAATAAAATATGGCATATATGTACAATGGAATACACTATAAAAGAGAAATGCTGACACATGCTCCAACATGGATGAACCTCAAAAACATTATGTGGAGTTAAAGAAGCCAGACCTAAAAGAACACATATTGTTTGAGTTTGGGGGACTGGAAGGGGAAGAAGGAACTTGCCCTTTGTTTCCTTTCCTGTTGTGCACCTCATGTTCCCTGAGGTGCAGCCACATTGGGCAGCTTGTTGCCTCAGGCGTATTTTCTTCTATCTTGCCCTCATCTTGGAGCCTCTATGCAAATTTCTGTGCTAGCACTTCCTTCTTCTGCCTGCATTACAACTAGAGGTGGACATTTCTTCCCCCAACCCTTCCGCCATCTTACTTCCTCTCATCCCCACTCCCTGTCCCTTCTCGCTTCCTTTCCTTTCTAGGACACACAGCACCTAGTGTAAGATCTTGCACGTAATCAATAAGTATTTTCTTTAAATCAAGTTTGATTTTATTTAATTCTCTTATAGAGTACTTAAAATGGCACTTGAAAATCATGGTATAGAGATTTCTTGTGCATGGTGTGAGAACATGTGTTCAAAGATGGTGTTTGCCTGCTTTTCCCCTCTGCATTCCTGCCTCCCAGACCTGGTTTTGTGTCTTTTCATCTAGCTCTGCCCCTTTCCAGGTGTTGTCATCATGAATCATTCCAAGGATGTTTTCTTTAGCCTCAAGCGTACATACCAACACTACAGTGTGATTTCTGTTTACATACCCTCACATTTTGACATTCTTGAAAATATTTTCACAAGCCCAGACTTTTCTCATTTCTGCCCCTCCTAGATTCATTCATTGCTGTATTTGCCAGGCCTCATGGACAACTGCTAACACCTGTATTTCCCTCTTGTCTTCACTCTTGGGGGTGAGCCTCCTGAACACAAATTCTTTATTGTTTCTTTTTATTCAGGCTAACTATCTGAACATGATTGGTAGCTTTTCTGCTCATGGATGGAAACCCCACAAGAAATCCAATTGAGTATAAAATATTATTGAAATTTCAATCTAGAGAAAAATTTTAATAATTTTTGTTTCCAAGCTTTTCAATGATGATATTTTATATTTGAAAACAAACAATACAAAGAATGAGAGTGGAGTCTGTAATTAAATTGTATAGTATACAAAACAGACCAAACCAGGGAACATTATTTACAAGGAAAATCAAAGAAACACAAGGTAGATAGCGTCTAGTAGTTAAAAAGCACAGAATTCTGAGGAATTTAAATATCAAATAGGATGTGATTTTGCACCTTAACCATCCACTCAGAGGCTTATTTGGAAACTCTCAGAGAGAAAGTTTGGTTCCTTACAGCTCAGTTGTCTTGTCACACCTATGTATAAAGGGCAAGCCTGAAAGCCTTCCGATTGTTAAGGGGCTTGTGGTGAAGCAGAGTAAAGTATGATTTAGTAAGTAGAGGTACAGTGTATGTGAGGAATGCTTCAAATGCTGGGTGCCCTGTTCTCTCTGCAAGAGCCACACAAGGTGATGAACATGCCACCCACACACAAGCTATTCTTATCCTGGTTGCAAGGCCACACCTGCTCACCAGCTTGCTCTTGGCCTTCATCTAACCCACTGTTTTTTCTGACTGTGGGTCAAAACCCATTGGTAGGCCATGAAATCAGGCTAATAGTTCATGATAAATATTTAAAAAAAAAAAAAAAAGAAATGGACTAGAATAGAAAATGTCAGAGTACATTATTTAAGGAAAACCTGTAGTTTTCTAATACTAATGTATGTGTATATATTTATTTTTGTATGAAGTTCCTGCATCGTGATGTCAAATCTGTTTCTTTATGTGGATCATGGTAGAAAAGGCTTTGTAAACCCCTGCTCTACCAAAGGATCTGAATATTAACTAATTTTGTGGTGAGTCCTTTGAGGTGAACAGGTACCTGAACCGGGGTGTTCTTAGCCTTCGTCACGGTGACTCTTTGGATCTGACATTACTTCTTGGGTTAAAGTTGAGTATTTTCAGAGAATACAGTTCTCTCTCTGCTCATATCACATGCTTTACTTCCCTGAACATTACGAACTCCATGTTCTAGTCTTCCTAGTTATCCTTCCCAGTTACCCTAATTTTTATGATCTCAGCCTTGTCAGGAATATTTGTCCTCACTTCTTCCACTGATTTCATTGCAAATTTGATTATGTCATTTAAAAACCATGTAGAATACTAGCTCAGAGTGTTTTTTGTTGACCTGACATACCCCAGTTTTTTTCCAGCTCTCTGGTGGTGACTCTGATTTGATCTTCCAAATAAGACAAGAGAAATAGATTCTAGGATTGCTGCTTACATTTTTTGGTGCTTTCTATCTTTCATGCCTCTCAGTTCTATGTATTTGTGAGTTCTAGAGTCAAAATACATGGGTTTAATTCTGGGCTACACCACTTTCTAGCTAAATGTCCTTGGACAAATTACCTACTTTCCCTTTGCCTCAACTTCCTAATCTTTAAAATAAATAATTACAGTACCTACCACATAAGGATGTTCTGAGGATTAAATGAGATAATATACACAAAAGAATAAGAATTGCATTTCACACACTGTGCACTAGTAAATGTTAGCTTTTACCCTCATTTGATTCACAAAATAGCCTTGTAAAGTTAAATGTTACAAATGTTATTATTTCTGTTTTATGGATGAGGAAACTGTGTTTACATGTTTTGGACAAAGCTTGCAGAAGGGGTATCTAATACTGATTGTTCATAATCCCTTCTAGGAGATCCTGACTAATCAGTCTCTCATACTGTAGTTTGTGATTTTCTGATTTGGTTATCTAGATTTCCTTTGGAAGTAGGAGGAAACACTTTTGTGCATGCTATTTGAAAAACATTGTCTTATTCCATAGTATGTCAATAAATTTTCTTAAATAATCATCTTAATGTTTGAAGATGGCAGGTTTCTGTGTGACACAAAACAGAAAATATTTTTCTTTGGATTCATGATTTTAGACATATTTAACTGATATTTTTATGGTTAGACAAGGTAAAACAATGTTTTTTAAATGGCATAGATTTAGATTTTATGACATTCATTCAAAAGTTAGGTGTGTTGACTCCATTTTTTCCAACATCCCTTTATTCTTATATTCCTGGGTCTTGATTCTTTCTCTCAGCCTTATTTTTGAAGTGGAAATATTTCATTGTATTTTATTTGTTTAGTCACTTACTTTTCTTAGTGTTTCTGAATTCTCTAGGGAAGCTATAAAAATCAGTAGCAATCTAAAAATTTTAACTCTCCTAGGTTCTGATATCTACAATGTCCCAATCTATATGCTTTCTGACAGAGAAGAAAGCGACCTTTTGTTTCCCCCAGAAACCACTACTGAGATCAAGAAATGGAACATTATTGATGCTGTCCAAGCTTACCTTGGACTTTGTTCCAGCGATTACCACCCCTGCCTTCTACCGTCTGGAAAAGATAACTGCTATTCCAACTTGTATCGTGATAGATTAGCTTTGCCTATTCTTAAACATCATAAATATCAAATTATGTAGTATGTACTATATGTATGTATATTTGCCTTGTTTTACTTCTCTTTGTGGACAGGCTTGTGATAATGGATTTGTTTTTTTGAATAGATAACTATTGAGAATATCTATTACTTCTTATATTCATTTTGGTCAGTCATGATTTTCATAAGGAATTTGTCCGTTTCTTCTAAAATGATAATTTTTTGACTTACAGATTTTTTTGATACCCTTCAGTTATATCTGCAGTGTCTGTAGGATCTCTACTGATACTCTTTTTTCATTTGATTTTGATAATTTGATCCTTTTAATTTATTTATTTTGATTACCAGTCTTGCTGGGATTTGTCAATTTTGTTAGTCTTTTT